ACATATTTCATTACTGTATTTTATTGTCTAACCATTGATAGAAAAGATCCCAAATTTTATAAAATTGTTTATCCTCTTGTTCTCTAATTTCAAATGTCAATCTACTCATTTCAGCACATTCCAATATTTTATTTTTGTATTTTTGTATAGGTAATTCTTGACTTACAACATTCAAAGTTACAATGGCACTGAAAAAAGTGACCTATGGCTGTTTTTCACATTTACAACCATTGCAGCATCCCCAAAGTTACAAGAGACCAAGTGAGGAGAAGCTCCCCTTGACTTGAGTGACATCGAGTTGGCCAAGCCCACCCAGTCACATACCCACCCAGCCACACCTACACAACTGGTCATTAGGGCAGAGAACTGGCTGTTAAATTATCTGAATCCCACCACTGCCCCCCATTTATAATTGCCTTCAAGAAGGGCAAGAAAGTTCTGACCTATCTTAAATCACAGACAAAGGGCAATCTAGAAGGCCAATCTTACTGAACATTGTTCTCTGGCTAAAATGTGCTACTGGGGAAGATCTCCAAAGGATATCAGGAAAATGGAAAGATTTGTTAAAAATGTCTCTTCATGAGCTGATGTTTATCATTCAGTTCGGGTCTCATCACAATAATAAAACACTTGGGAAGAAAGATACACACCAATAATCCAGCACTGGAGGAGATCATGGAGAAAATCTCCACAGCCAATGTATATTTTCCCTTTCTGCTTAGATAGGTTGGGATAAAGCACAGCCAAACACTGCAAAAGACCAACATGCTGAAGGTGATGAATTTGGCTTCATTGAAACTGTCAGGTAACTTCCTAGCTAGAAAAGCAGCAGAGAAGCTAACCAGAGCAAGAAAACCCATAAAGCCCAAAACACAGTAGAACATGACTGAGTCCTCATTACACTCCAGGATGAGTTCTTCAGGTATTGAGTGTGCATCAAAATCTGGGTATGGTGGGCATGTTATCAGCCACACAGCACAAACACACATTTGGACAAGGGAGCAGGCTAGAAGAATGAAACCGACCATTCTTCCCCCCACCCATTTTCTCAATCCGGAACCAGGATTGGTGGCCATGAATGCTAGAACCACAACAAATGTCTTAGCCAAGACAGAAGAAACTGCCACTGAAAAGATGAGCCCAAAAGCTGGCTGTCGAAGGAGACACACAATTGTATTGGGTCTCCCGAGAAATAGAAAGACACAAAGAAAAGAGAGGAAGAGGGAAACTAGGAGAATGTAGGTGAGATTCCGGTTGTTGGCTTTGACAATGGGAGTATCTTTGTGTTTCATGAAGATTGTGATGACCAAAGTTGTCATCAAAGAAAAGCAAAGAGAAAGAACAATCAGACTGATCCCCAAGGGTTCTTCATAGGACAAAAAAGTGATCCGCTTTGGAATGCACATATTTTTGTCAGGATTTGGATACTGATCTTCCAGACATGGAGAGCAGTCATCTACATCTGAAAAAGAAGACATCAATTGGAATTGATGGAGTGGATTATAGAAAGTGTTGTACCCTCATGGCTTAGCCCCATTATAGTGTTTTTGGAAATTTCATACCCTTCTTTTTTGATATTTTCCCCTCTGGACACAGACGGCAGGCATAGCAGCAAAATGATTCCCCTTCTAACTTTTCCTTGCTGTATCCTGTCTCACAGGGATCATTACACAGAGATAAAGGCAACGTCTATCAGTGAATGAAGGAGGTTTCAAGATACAGAGTAAAAGCCATGTTCTTTGAAAGATATTGTTAGTGTGGAATCAAGTGCATAAAAATGGATTGATAATGAGAAGTAATGTGATTACATCATTTTAAGATCTAATTGGTCTGAAATAATAATTCATTCAATATTTAGCATTATTGCTATCAATGGCTTTCTAAGTCTATCAACCCCAGTTTCCAATGATAATTTTTGTGCTGGTTAAAGATGTTTTCCTCAACTTCTTAATTTTGAAGTCACCAGACTGATGAAATTTAGTGTACTGGATTGTAGCTTTTACTTCAAAGACATGAAACTATTGTACATAATAATAAAGGCCCAAAGTAAAGAGTACAATATTTTATATCAACTATTGCAAAATAATCCTTCCTAAGACAATTTTTTCTTTCCGTAGAACATTGGTATTTAGGCTAGTTCAGATATGACGCTGTAAGACTTTAATCAGTAAAGATATTTTTATGCTACATAAATGAAGGCAGGGCAGGCTACATTCAGACATCTAACCTGATTAAAACCTACTGGCCAAATGATGGAATGTACAGAAATATTGAAGAACATATTTGCTGGAGCTGTAGGATCTATCATCCCAACTTTGATCCTAACAAAGGATTTGTTTGGGAATGAGATCCAGTTGATAATATCATATCCACCAATGAATTGTCCATTTTCATCAAAGGAGACCTTCTCCCCGACACTGTTGTTGAATCTGACACTTCTCAGAAAAGAATGAACCTGAAATACAGGGACAGCCAGAGAGAGACAAAGAGAGAAAAGGAGAGAGAGGAGATTACATTCATATGTTCAAAATATACACATAGATGTTTCTTTAAACAAAGAAAATGTTAAAACTTTTTTAATATTTTAGTTGTAAGCCGGTATCAAATAAATATAACATAACAATCTTTCCAATATAGAGGCAGAGGTTAAATATCAGGTTACTGAAAAAAAGTAATGTAGAATAGCAAAATAAAAGAAAACCAGAAAAAATTAATTCGCAATTCATTTAATTACTAAAGCCCCATAAACTGGATGACTTCTAATAAATGCATAAGAAATGGTAGATGTATAGTGCTATAAAAGTTTAATGCTATTCTTATTTGTAAACAGCCTTATACTTTCTATAGCCATGCTAAGGTTTGATTTGAAATATTGCAGACCAGAAAGAAGATAACAAGATAAATGTAATTGAAAAGGTTTATGTTTATCTATGTATACTTTCTTCATACACACAAGCAAATACATTTTCCAGTTACATTATGTTTTATCCTATTATTGTCTCATACATTTGAATATATTATCTATAATGGATTTGTGTCCTTCATTCCTCTCCTTTTTTTCTCTTGCCCTCCATCTCTCCTTCCATGTATCTATCTATCCATCCATTCAGCCATATATCTCATTCACTTTCTCCTCCCTCCCTCTTTCTTTCTCTCACTTCCTTCCATCCCCTCTTTCTTTTTCTTTCCCTTGTCTTCCTTTCTCTCTCTCTTTTTTCCCTTTCTCTTTCTTTTCTTTCTTCTTTCTTCTCTCTCTCTTTCTTTCTCCCCCCTCTCTTTCTCTCTCTCTTTCCCCCTCTCTCTTTCCCTGTTTCCCTCTCTCTCTTTCCTTCTCTTTCCCTCTCTTTCTATCCCTTCCCTTCCTCCTTCCCTCTCTCCTTCTAAAGCTAGGAGAGGAGACCCACCTGAAACAAAGAAACAAACAAAGAAACAAACAAAGAAACACACACACACAAGCTTCCAAGCATTCAGCAGCATTGCTCATTATAAGAGTTCCTCCCGGGCAGTCTCTGGTTCCGTGTTGCCCCCAAAAGCCAGCAGGCAAGACTTCCAGATCCTCCCCTCCCACGTTTGAAGCTGGGAAATTCAAGCAAGGCATGTGCTACCTGCTCCCCCCTCCCCCTGCCGGGTAGCTCTGGGCTAGGCAGCTTTCCTGACTGCCTGAAACCTTACCTTCCTCTCACACAAAAAAGTATGCGGCGGCTATAGGCTTCTTGCAGTGGCTTTGCTCTGCTTGTCCAATGCACCACTACAGCTGTGTTCTTAGTGCTGGCCATGCAGATCCACCCTATTGAGCCCACTGCACCAGAGGGCCTTGCGCAAGCAAGTCTGAGTGGAGTGGTGCAGCACTTCGAAAGAGGTGCCTGGACACTGAAAAAGAGTCACCCCCAGCCGCCCCTTTTTCAGAGCAACTGGCCAGCTGCTTTTCTTCTTCTCTGACTGTTTGTTCTGTGTAGCTGAGGAGAAGGAGAGCAGTTGGCCAGTTGGGGCAGGCATCTTGCACTGTGAAAGAGACAGCTGGTGGTGGCTATTTTTTGGTCTCCAGCCACCCTATTTGCAATGCAAGAAGCCTCCCAAAACTGGCTGACTGCTCTTCTCCTCCTTGACCATACAGAACAAACAGGCAGAGAAGGAGGAGAGCAGCCGTCCGGTTGGGGGAGGATTCTTGCATTTAAAAAGGGGCAGCTGGACATGTGACCACCTGCTGGAAGAGGCGCATCCACAGGGAGAAGAAAAAAGCATGCTCCAGGAGGGGGGTGGGCAGGCAGGAGGATGTTCCGGGGCCACTGCATATATGCACTGTATGTGTAGAAGCTGCACACACAGTGCACATGTACAGCAGCGGCAGGACAACTGCCCAAGCTGCACTTCAGCCACCACATGGTAGGGAAAGCTAGGAGAGCGACTGGGGCAAGTGAGTGACCAGGAGACTGGGAGACCAGGCGACCGGGTCGGTGGGCATGGCTAGCCAGGGATAGCCACTGGTTAGGCAATCTATGCCAAATCATTGCTACTGGTTTGCATGAACCGGTGTGAACTGCTTGAATTATGCCTCTTTCCCAGAGGTGCTTTTCGAAGAGGCAACTGGTCTTTATTGATTTCCTTAAAGAAGTTTCAGTTCTCATCCAAGAGCTTCTTCAGTTCTAAGTGAATGGTGGGAAATAGAAGGATTTATATTCTTTGCAGTCATCTGGTCATTCACATGCTTTATGAGAGTCATTGAGGACATTTGGAGGTCTTCAAAGAAAAGCAAAGAAGTCCAGTTGCCTCTTGAAAAAACATCTTTGGAACAACCATGACCTGGATGACCGAGAATCTCCACAGACATACAGATATGGTTGTCTCTGCACTAGTCTGCTTATAGGACTTACCTGCCACCAAACTTGGTTGAGAACCTGCTTCCTTCCATTTTTCACTATTGTTGCATCCCTGGATTTGGATAAATACAGAGATTGCCAAGCATGTGCCACAGCATAGACTGCGTTGTAAATATTATAACTCTGTCCACTAATGTGTGTTTCAAACACAGATGTAGGAAGGTTCCCAAGCTTCTCCTGTCCAGTACAAGTTTCCTCAGATGTCTCAGTTCTTGAGTTGGAGAAGAAACAGTCAAATGCCTGTTCCCAGAAATCTTTCCGAAAATGATCACGATGGTCATTGTTTGGAGTTAGATTGTGAAGAAATTCCTGGAAGTCTTGGATCTCTTTTATATGAACTGCAAAGGATAAAGCCCCATGTAGGAAATGGATATCCCATGATTTATGAAGGGAGATTGAGGTGTACTCTGTCTGCGCATTTATAAGCCAGATCTTTGGCTTCTTTGGTATATCCTCCACTTCTGAAAAGCGGAGAAAACTTCTCAGAACTGATATAGTTTGAATTTTACCATATAGAATTATCACATTGGCCCTGCTCTTCATGAGAACATGGTATATACATAGAAATTCATCCATTATATCAGTAAAATCACTATAGAAATCTGCATTTGGTATCTGTGCTATGAACTCAGTGCAGATGCCATTCTCAGAAAAGGTAGGGACCACTTCGTGGACAAATTCCTCTGCTTTCTTATTCTTTGCTACAAGAATTCCAACCCAAATCCATCTTAAGTACTTCAATAACAGCATGAGGCCCTTATGTTCATGGGATACATCTGGAAACATTTGCTGGAAGAAAACCGCTTGAGTCTCTTTTTCCATGGCTGGAGCAGAGCCATAGGTCAACTAAAGGAAGACAAACATATGCAAATGGAAAGTGAACTTCTGACACTGGGTACATTCATTTGAGTTTTTGGGTGCCCTTGAGTTTATATACTGAAACATTATGCAACTGCATTTGTTTAGAAAGCAATCAAGATGCAACCAAGATATCCCCTGAGGTTGGGAAAAAGGATAAGAACAGGGGTCAATCTATTCCCCAAAGCACCTGAAAGTGGGACAAGAATCAGTGGATGGAAATTAATCAAGGAGAGAACCAGGTTAAAACAATGAATCAGTTGAATCACTTGCCTTCAGATGTTGTGGCTACCCCATCAATGAAGGTATTTAAGAAGAGATTGGACAACCATTGATATGAAATGGTATAGGGTTATCTGTTTGAGCAGGCGTTGGGCTAGAAGACTTCCAATTCTTAATTCAGAGTCGGGCATTGGGGGATGTTTTTCTATGCCTTGTAACCCCACTGTCTGTTCAGAATTATTACTATGGTAATCCTATCAAGCAAAAAATAATATCCTGGATTCTGAAAGTTGTCTCCTTTTTTTAGAGAAAGAAGCACTCAGACTTCTAGGGAAGTATGGCAATTTAAGAATGTATATCTTCTTGCACCTCTTACCTGAGGAACTTTGTAGATGGACAATACAGCTGCCATGTGAAGAGAGATATCAGGTCCCCCAATCACTGCAGCCAACATTTTTGGGATCCCACACTTGTAGTTGGGGATGAATTTTCCATGAGTGAAAGGCAGCAGCATTGAAGCAAAGTAAGTCCACCTTGGACTGAAATGACTGTCAAAAATATGAAACCCCAGTGTGATATTGGGAAGGATCTGGTCATTTTCATTGATCTCTTTTAAAGTAAACGCTAAGGCCAGGACATGCTGGTAATTCTGAAAAAATATTCTGTAAAGAAAAAAAATACATTAAGAAATGTCTGCTTCATATATTGGTGGGATTCAATTTTTTTAACTACTGGTTCTGTGGTGTGTCTTGGTGAACATGGCATGGGAAGGATACTGTAAAATCTCCAGTCAGAGGTGCTATTTGCCAGTTCTCCAAACTACTCAATATTTCAACTACTGGTTCAACATGACTAGTCAGAATTTGTTGAATACCACTTCTGGTTTGTTGTATAAAGCCCCGAGATAGGTTTTTATCCAAATAATTCCTCATCTCCTGCATTCCTTGGGAGTCATAGCATACATATGGGGTTAGGTAGCTTCACTCCTGGGATTAATTCTATAGTGCAGCTCATTTTGCGGTGCGGGGGTAAGATCTCTCACTCCTCTTCACTAAATACCTTTGATAAATCCTGATACTCAATCAGATAAGGGAGATTTGGATGTTCTATTATGGTGGTTGCTAACTCTTTCCGTGTATTTGGTATGGATTCCCCTGGACCGGACTGAGGGGGTTCTGGTCCTACTACAAGCCATAAATGACGGCAACCACCTTCCCACCATATAGTGGGTTCCCACTTATCCAATCATACGAGTCCTAATATCAGTGCCTCATGCATATGTGGGACAACAATAAATCGTAGATATTCCTAATGAGTTCCGATTTCTAGTTTAACAGGAGTAGTCATCACCATAGCTGGGGATCCACCAAGCAGGGACCCATCCACCTGCTCAAAATTCATTGGTGTAGGCAATGTTTCCACCCATAACGTTAATTCATCCACCACTCATTGGCTAATGAGACACCTGGTACAACCAATGTCTATCAATGCCCCATATCTACCAATCTGTCCCATGGTCACACCTTCCACTATGACTGGTATCATGAAAGGACGTACTGGAGCACTCACCATAGTATCGTCATGGCTTTCCTCACCACTATCATATAATCCTGAAACAACCCTGGGTTGACTCCGTTCCTCCAATTGATGTTGACTTGAGGGTGATACTTCTTCCTTCGTTTTCAAAGTCAGTCCTTGTGATTTTTCAGCACCAATTCCCTGTTTCCTAAAGCTGAATTTTGTCACTGCTCTGACAGGTGCCTTTGCCATTTGTTTCATGCACTCATTGGCAAGCTCAGGGCATTCCAACACCCTGTGACCTATTAGGTTACATCTGAAACACCTAATAGCCGGTCATCCCCTACCATCCAAGGGTCCATCTCCTTGCCTGCTCTGACCTCCCATAACTCCAATATCAGCTTTAGGTACTTCTTGGATTGGTTTGGGCTTGGTTCCGAATTCCTTCAGTCCGACATCCAATTCAACCACAATTCTGTACCATTCTGTCAATCGTTGAGGGACCCCTCTATATAAGCATGCCTGTCTTAAACTACGATCCAACCCAGCACAGAATTCCCGGACCAACAGACACTCAGGCAAGGACCTTAATTTCCCAGCTAAATGTCGGAATTCCCATACATACTCAGTTGGTGGCCTCCCATTTTGCTTCAACACTAGGAGAGCTCCCTTGGTTTGGTGGACACAGACCTGTCCTCAAAATGATTGTGGAGTGAGTCCAAAAAAAGACTTACATCTACCAATTCTCTGGCCCATTCATTGTGTAGTTCCATGACCTAGTCTACTGCATCCCCAGTTAAAACTCCCATGATAGCTACCACTATGGACCATTGTGATGGGTAGCAAGAGGCATATAATTCTAGATGATTGACCACTTGGCTTAGAAACAGTGCGATATGATCTGGGTTACCATCAAATGTAGTTTGCAATGGTGGTGGTCCCCACACCATGAACTGTGGCCACTGGCCAGACATTCCCTGATGACCCCAGGAACCCTCCTGCTGTACACGGTGAGATGGTGAATCCCCTTGAACAAAGCTTGAAGTCATATGCTTGGTACCTCCTGTCCTGGGTTCTGATGGCCCAACTACATCAGCTAATAATGCGTCGAACCCAGGTGTAAAGTCACTTCCAGTTCTTTCACTATTAGGTTCTCTTCCTTCTCTAGGGATAGAACTGAAATAGGAAGTATCATCAGTCTGAGCTCCTGACCCCTCCCATCTAATCTTTGGGCTGGGATCCTGTATGTTTAGATCTCCATAGTTCATGTGCAATAGTGCTATAATACTAGCTCCCAAACTGGAGGTGGAAGTACTCCAGGCATCTTCTTCAACTATCCTCCTTTCCCTCCCCTTCTCAAATACTCCAGCATTAAGAGGTGCAAAGGCACGGGTTTTTCCATGAACACCTCATCTCCCACACTCCTCCTGAAGCTCCCACTCACTCCTCCTTTCATCCTTCATCTTGGGCTGAACAGTTTTCTGTGTCTCCCCCTCCATGTCTCTGTTTAGTTTAGGTCTAGTAACTCTTTGTACATCCTTGTCCTTGAGAATATCACCAGTATCACCAGTAGATGGCGGTTCTCTGCTCACAAGTCCATATCTAGACTCATGTACCCCCGCCGTCCTATGGAGATGTCTCTTCCTCATCCACCTCGGATGCAAATGGCAAATCCGAATCCACATGTGTGCCTTCTGCCATCACTCCTCAATGCAGCCACACTGAATAACCAACGGAGGGAAGGAGAGATGGCAGGAGCATACAAGGATTGGATACAGAGCTGACTTTCTCTCAGCTGTTCAGCTGAAATCCAGAAAGAAAGAGAAATAAAGCTCCATGGCATGTAGACATGTCTTTATTCATCCATATATCAGTCCGGGTTCGAGTAATAACAAGCACCAAAAAAATGATAGTAAAGTCAGGTCTGGCACACCTCACAGACAGAGCTGTATTTATCCACCAGATAATAACGTAGTGAGTTTATCCACCATCCGGTGGCTGCTACCATTTAAATTCTGGTTACCCTTGATCTATGCATTCTTCTGTTAATTAACCACCCTCCTTTACCATACACTCACCACAGTACGCTTTCTACATTCCACCAAGCCCCCTGTGCCCTCCTGGTGTATATGCGCCCCCTGAGGTCATTGTTTTAACTGTCAGCCTATTCATCACTCTGCCGATAGCTACCCACAACTTGTGATCATTTAGCATCTAATATCATCGGGGCTCATCATCTCTCACTGTCAGCAACTCCAACCCGATGTTGGTCGGCCGGCAAGTGCTTACTATTGCAGTAGAATATCCAGACACAGCGGAACGCTCAGTGTCATGGTTCCAGCATGCCACGGGGCCATGACAGATACATTTTATTCAAACAGACTCATAGACAGGTCAAGAATAGATACGATATGGATGTCAGCAGAGCTAAAACTCAATTTACGGGAAACAAATATAGAAATAAGGAACTGGGCAGATCACAACCCATAAAAGTTAAATGGAAGGGACAAAAAGGGAAACTAAAATGGACAGTGAATCAAACAAAGATATTTTGAATGAAGCCTGGCTGGATACTTGAGGATTTGTACTGAAAAACCATGGTACTCACTGTTCCATACTAGCAGGCTTGAAGACCTGCATTCCTATTGGTCCGGAAGAGTCGGGCCATGATTGGACGAGATAAGCGCTCGTGATTGGTTTGTAAGGGGCTTGCAGTGATTGGGTAAAATCAAGCACGGCAAGCTCAAAAATCTGTCATTGGCTGCCTAGCCACGGCCGGCTCTATAAAAAGAGCTGCCACGGCTAGGGTTTCTGTCTCAGAATCTGTTTGCTAAATAAAGAGCTGTTTTTCATTACTCGTGCCTCACCTCTCTATGGGACCCACCGACCGAACATAACACAATTATAGATTGTGGTAACAAGGGTTTATTTCATCAGTCAAGTTCACAGTAGTAGTCCCAAAAGGCAACACTGGATCAATTCCAAGTAAAGCTAGTGTTGAGAGCTACTACCTCTCAGTGCTTATTATAGCTGCATGTCAACACCACCATTTTAACCTACATCTTCCCATCTCCACCCACGCTTCCACCCGTTCCTACTTATGCCTAACCTAAAAACTCACTTCCTACACCTCCCAACACCCTGAAAGCACAATCACAAATGTTATTGCCCCAACATTGCAGATGGGCAGACATGTCCGATGCCATTGATCGTTTCTGCATATCATCATTCCTCTCTGCATGCAGAACAGCTGATGGCTGTCAAAATGGGAACCTCTAAACAGCTGAGAGTTCTCTCTGGCAGTTCTGTATAGCTGCAGCATACTCTGCGAACAGCATTGCTTCCATTATTATTTTCCCAGCTGGAGCAGTCATGCTGATATGAGATTGAGGAAGTAGGTGGCTGACGAGCATTGGGGCAACATGCCTAAGTGTTGTGCTTCCACAGTGAGCTCGATTATCAAGAATTGAGTGATCAAGGGATCGACATGACATGGTATTGGCAAGTGCAGATACATTCTAGATATGAGAAAGATGCTAAATCGTATGTTTTTATAATGAATTAACAGAATTAGATAAGATATTAACAGGGACAGAAGAAAGATTGTTAAAGAAATTGTTCAGCTACCTATTGGGCGTCAAACTAGAAGAGGAACAAGTGAAGGAGACAATGATAGCATGGGCAAGAAAATTTAGTTATATAATAGAACTTGATAAATGGCAGAAATTATGGGATAGGAACTATGAACTAACAATGTTACAGAGATATTTGTAACCAGATGACACACTGTTTAATGGAAGGTGGAATGTTTATATTAAAAATATAATAATAATAATAATAATAATAATAATAATAATAATAATAATAATAATAATAATAATAATAATAATATAATAATAATAATAATAATTGCTGCACACACATAGTGACGTTGACAGGCTATATTAGCCCAGAAAATCTAATAGGACTTTTGCTAGTGAAGCAGACAGTCGAAGAAGAGAAGCATGCTCTGGAAGATTATGTGAAAGACAGTGCTGAATCAGTTTTGATGGAGGTCAACAAGATGAAGCTGCTCAAAGTGCAGCAAACCAAGAATCAATATAGGAAAAAAGCAATACAAACTCGGCCTGACAGCTGGTGTAACAAAACACTGCATGGACAGTTCCTTGAAAAGATTCAAGGAAAAGTAGATAAGGAAAAGACCTGGTTATGGCTGACCAACAGAACACTGAAGAAAGAGACAGAAGGTGTGATTCTTGCAGCCCAAGAACAAGCCATCAGAATGAATGCACTAAAAGCCAGAATAGAAAAACCTGTTGATGACCCCAAATGCAGACTCTGCAAAGAAGCGGATGAAACCATCAATCACATGCTGAGCTGTTGTAAGACAATTGCTCAGACTGACTACAAACAATGTCATAACACAGTTTCTCAGATGGTCCACTGGAATTTGTGTCACAATTACCATCTGCCTGTAGTAAAGAACTGGTGGGATTGGGGATTTCTGGTCTGCAGCGCTTTGGGGCAGGCAGGAATCCGTGACTGTATGCGGTTTTTGCCTGTGTTCACTGCCTGAGTGCCCCAAGCCATCCGGCTTCGGGGCTAAGCCACCTCCGTAGAAGGTGGCGAAGACAGGGGGGCTCTGGCAGGGTCAAGAGACATCGCACCTCTCTCCCTAACCGGCTAAACCCCTTTTTCCAAAGGCAGCTGAGCGGCGGTCAGCAATGGCCGCCACATAGAAGAGCTCAGCCTGAAAAAGAAAGTGCAGGAGGAGCTGTGAAGAAATGAAAGTGATCTTTGCTGAACGGGACAAAGCAACAGTGAAAGTACCCTGGAACTTAAAACTTACTAAAGATAACATCGTTTCCAGACTGTGCTAAGAGGCGAATGGAAATTAAAGGGAAAACCTTTTTTTCTTTTCACTCTCCTTCCAAATGTAACACCGATAGAACTTTATGAGAAATTGGAAAACCCGCATTGGAGGTATGCTAAATGCTAAATGCTAATGCTAAAGGGATATGGATTTCTGAATATTTAAAGAAAAATCTTTTTTGCTGTAAGTGGGAAGGGAGAGGAAAAAAATTGGAGTAGAATTTGAAAACAAGGAGGAGACTGCCTAGAATTTTAAAGAGCTATTGAACATTAATAAAGCTTCAAAAAGATATATTTTAATTGGAACTTTGTGATTAAACAGCAACCCCAGAAAGAGAAATGGAAGAAAGAAAAAAGTGTTAAAAGAAATAGTTTATTTGGATTGTTTGGTGACTTTGGAACCTTTGGGAATTATTCCTGATCAAAAGCACTTGGGTGGTTGTTTGGGAAAAAAGTTTTCTCTTTATAATGGCATCGTTTGAGGATGTATTAAAAATTGAATATCAAAAATACAAAAAAGAACAAGAAGGGAAAGATACTTTGGGCACTCTTTTTCAATTTCTAGAAATGGCGGTATGTACTTATGAAAAATTGACTGCGTAGCAGGACGATTGGGATAAAGAAGAAGCCATCTTTGATGAACAAGTGATTCTATTTGGAGAGGAGGAGAAAGAGGAAAAGAAAAGGGGGACTTTAAGACTTGAAAAAACAACCAAAAAAGACAAAAATGAGTTGAAAGGTGGATACAAGGTTAGAAAACAACAGAAAGGGGGAAAGCAGAAGAAGAAAGGGGAGGTGGAGAGACAAAGGGGAAAAAAGGATAAGGAGAAGAATAAGCAAGGGAGAAAGGAAGGGATGAGAAGCCTCAATGGTGGGAAGCAAGATTTAAAGAAACAAAATTTATTTAGAGACAATGGGTAAATTTAATTGAAAAAGGGATTCTGTAAGGTACATAAGATTGTGTTTTTATATGTGTATTTAGAATAAAATGTTTAAGATCTAAATGAGTATTAATATGTATGATTAATTTTTTAATGATATTGATAGTGGTCCTAGCTATATTATATACCTATAAATTCATTCCTTTGTTGTTGTTGTTTTTTTCTTTCTTATAAAATACATTGTGTAATTTTAGAATGTACTAAACAGAATCCCAATACAAGTTATGTGTTATATTAAGTATTATTAAGTTAGGGGAATGAGTTAAAGGCATCATACTCCAATCAGTATACAGGAGAAGTTTTGTTTAAAGAGAAAAGATGAATGGATAGCTGGAAATAGAACAGACAAAGAATGACAAGTATTATGATTTGAACTGAGATGAGATAAATAAAATAAAACTAAGAAAGTTAAAAGAGGGAAGAAGCTATATAGAAAATTGAAAATGGTAATAAGATATGGAATGGTATATAAAATGAATATGATTTTTGAATTTGTGTCTGTACAAAGAGTTTTAACTCGGGATCAAGTAACTTTCAGAAAAGATGTTTTATGTTTTTATGTTTTATGTTTTGTTTGTTTGTGTATTGTCCTTGAAAAGCAATAAAAAATTTTTTAGTAAGAAATATAATTTGAATAATAGAATGAAAGGGAGAAATAAAGAGAAGCTGGGATAAGATATGAAGTTGAACAAATAATGAATATATATATATATTAAGTTGTGTTTGTATGTGATAATTTGGATTTATTCTATTTTTAAATAAGATGTTCTATTGATCTTTCCAGAAAAGATCCTTTATGTTATTATATTTTATGCTTTGTTTGTTTGTGTATTGTTTTGTAAAAACTAATAAAATTTGTTTAAAAAAAAAAG